AATGGGAGTATGGTTCAATGGCATCATGTTTTATGGGGTTCATTGTGTCCACATCTATAGGAAAAATGTTCTGTAGACCCCCAAATTTGAGTTTTGCTGAATGCTGTCGTGTTTTATGGGGTTTATTCTAACCAAATCTATCTATTGTTAAAAATCCCCAGATATTTGGCAAAATCACCTGATATTTGCCAATATCTCCTAATATTTGGCAAGGTTTTCCTTCCTTTTTCCCAGTGAAATGGCTCTTCTTCCAAATCACTCCGTTTCCTCCTCTTTCACCCTTCCCATCTCACAGGGACAAAGCAGCTGAAAACCCCAATTATCCGGGGGAACTCGTTAAGAAGAATTACACAAATCCTCATCCAACCACGGGGCTGAAGCAGTGCTATTTTTCAGCGTGGGATGCGACAGCAAAGAAAATTCACTTACCAGAATAACCTCCTTTGCTTTTGTGTCTCAATCGCTGTGGATGAAACCAGAGAAGATGGAGAAGTCCTTTCCCGTTGCCACCTCTCCCAATCCCTCAATGCCCCATGGATATTTTTGCTTCCCTACCCTTCTGCTCACCCAGGGTTACAAAAAAAAAATAATAATAATAATAAAAATCAGCCCATTTTTTAAGGGATTTTCCACTTTTTACTCACCATCCTGCAAAATCCTTGGCTTTCCAGGCATCGACGACCTCAGCGATGCTCTCAGCCACGCGGCCACTGGGCAACCTCAGGTCATCCTTGGCATCCCCATTGAAATTGCCACAGGGGGCACAGAGATGGTTGACCAGAGTGGCTTTCACGGTCAACGTCACCTCCCCACTGGGACTGAAGATCACCTCCAACCCCGAGGTGTGAGAGATGGTGACGTTCCCCTCCATCACATCCAAGGAAACGGCTTCAGATACCGGGGCTGGGAGGCGGGTGAAGAGACCGTTCACCTGAATTGGTACAAAATGGCAAAAATCAGTCCAAAAAGAACCACAAAAACCCAACCCCAACTTGCCTCTTGATGTCACTCAACAAAATGCGTTGGGCTGTGGCACGACCATACGTGTGACCATTGGGAATGGGACCACACGTTGCACCAGAGCAAAAAATTCCTTCAATTTAAGTCTACTGGAGATGATCTTGGGTAATATTTTGCTCCAAAACTGCTCTTGGGGAGCTTCTTTCCTTCCAACCAGCTCAATGTAGACGTCTTCAAGCTCTACCCCAAAAGGAGACCTTCTACCTCTGTCCCCAAAGGAATTCTTCAACCTCTAAGTTGAAAGAGTCTTCAATCTCTGCCCCAAAAGGAGAACTTCAACCTCTACCTACTCCAAAACAAGACCTTCAGCTTCTGTCCCAAAAGGAGACCTTCAACCTCTACCCCAAAAGGAGACCTTCAACCTCTGTCCAACCTCTACTCCAAAAGGAAATCTTCAACCTCTACCCCAAAAGACCTTCAACCACTGTCCCAAAAGAAGAACCTTCAACCTCTGTCCCAAAAGGAGAACCTTCAACCTCTACCCCAAAACAAGATCTTCAACCTCTACCCCAAAAGGAAACCTTCAACCTCTGTCCAACCTCTACCCCAAAAGACTTTCAACCTCTGTCCCAAAAGGAGAACCTTCAACCTCTACCCCAAAAGGAGACCTTCTACCTCTGTCCAACCTCTACTCCAAAAGGAAATCTTCAACCTCTACCCCAAAAGACCTTCAACCACTATCCCAAAAGGAGAACCTTCAACCTCTACCCCAAAACAAGACCTTCAACCTCTACCCCAAAAGGAAACCTTCAACCTCTGTCCAACTTCTACCCCAAAAGGAAAACCTTCAACCTCTACCCCAAAAAACCTTCAACCACTGTCCCAAAAGGAGACCTTCAACCTATGTCTCAAAACAAGACCTTCATCCTCTACCCCAAAAGGAAACCTTCACCCTCTACCCCAAAAGACTTTCAACCACTGTCCCAAAAGAAGAACCTTCAACCTCTACCCCAAAACAAGACCTTCAATCTCTACCCAAAAGACCTTCAACCTCTACCCCAAAAGGAAACTTTTGACTTCTACCCCAAAAGACCTTAAACTGCTGTCCCAAAAGGAGACCTTCAACCTCTGCTCCTGAAGGAGAACCTTCAACTTCTCAGAAGACCTTTATCCTCATCCTGAAGGAGTGATTTATGCCCCAAATCTCCAATTTTGCACCCAACGATAAGCAACCTTGTATGCACAAGAGAACAGGAAAATCCCTCTCCTCCCCCCAAATTTTGCACCTTGAACTCATGCCCTATCTTTTAGGGGCAGAGCTGGCTCACCCAAACCTCCATGTTGTTATTGATGGTGATGAAAGCTTCGCGGAAGAAGGCAAAAACAGCCACAGCAGCTGGAATCCCATCGTCCCGACAATCGCTGACCTCCACCACCACCTTGAACCAGTTGGGCGACCTCTCGTTGCACAGGGAGGACATTTTATAGGTGCCACTGTCAGGCAGCCTTCCTCCCACCCCATCAAACGTGGTCACGGAGGCTCCAGGTGAGATCTGACATCGTCCCTCCTGCTTGAGGCATCGCTGCGTCCCTTCCCGAGCGACGCAGACCTCATCTGGGGGACAGCGGGTGGCCTCGCAGGTGAGTCCCTGCAATGGGTGGCAGTGGCATTTCATGGTGCAGTTGTTGGAGGTGATGGTTTCACCCGCCTGGAAAGGAAGAACTCCAAGGTTAATTAGTCCTTTATCCCTGTTTCCTCCTGGTTTTTGGTTTTTTTTTTTTCATGCTTTTGAAAGGGGGAGGAGGTCCCGCGTGTAGGAAGAATGAAATTTAGGCTGATGTGGGGAAATTTGAGCAACTTGAGAAATGAACCGTTCTCCGCAGCATCAAAAAGAAAAGGACTTTCAAACCTCTAACCCAAAAGGAGGCCTTCTACCTCTATCCCAAAAGACCTTCAACCTCTATCCCAAAAGAAGACCTTCAACCTCTATCCCAAAACAAGATCTTTAACCTCCATCCCAAAAGACCTTCAATTTAAATCCCAAAGGGAGACCTTCCACTTTAATCCCAAAGGGAGATCTTCTATCTCTACCCTAAAGGAGACCTTCAACCTCTACCCCAAAGGGAGTCCTTCAGAGGTCCACAACGGGCATTTTAGGATGCTGTTAATTGCAAGATTTTGGAGATTTCTCCCTAAAATGAAACTACAACCCACCTCACTGAGTCCAAACACCGGTTGCATTGACTCCACGGTTCATCCAGCTCCATCAAAGAATGAGTTCCCAAATATGGTGTCAACCCATGGCATCAAAGACCAAAACCCCAAACCCTTTCCATCAGCCAAATGGGACAATGCATGTCAGCAAAGTCCGATACCCCAAATCCACCACATCATCGAAATGGGACATCCGATCCCATCAAGGACTGGCACCCCAAATCCATCACATCTTTGAGATGGGACATCCAAGAACTGACACCCCAAATCCATCACATCATTGAGATGGGACATCCAAGAACTGACACCCCAAATCCATCACACCAGCTTGATGGGCCAAACAACCCTATAAAGAATAGTGTCCCTGAATCCATCACATCATTGAGATGGGACATCCGATCCCATCAAGGACTGGCACCCCAAATCCATCACGTCTTTGAGATGGGACATCCAAGAACTGACACCCCAAATCCATCACATCATTGAGATGGGACGTCCAAGGACTGACACCCCAAATCCATCACACCAGCTTGATGGGCCAAACAACCCTATAAAAGATCGTGCCCTCCAATCCCATCAAGATGGGATGACTCATGGCATCAAAGATTGATGTCCCAAATCCACCACATCATTGAGATGGGACATCCGATCCCATCAAGGACTGGCACCCCAAATCCATCACATCTTTGAGATGGGACATCCAAGAACTGACACCCCAAATCCATCACACGAGCTTGATGGGCCAAACAACCCTATAAAGAATAGTGTCCCTGAATCCATCACATCATCAAGATAGAACATCCGATCCCATCAAGGACTGACACCCCAAATCCATCACATCATTGAGATGGGACATCCAAGGACTGACACCCCAAATCCATCACACCAGCTTGATGGGCCAAACAACCCTATAGAAGATCGTGCCCTCCAATCCCATCAAGATGGGACGACTGATGGCATCAAAGATTGATGTCCCAAATCCACCACATCGTCAAGATGGGACATTCAATCCCATCAAGGACTGGCACCCCAAATCCATCACATCTTTGAGATGGGACATTCAAGGACTGACACCCCAAATCCATCACATCTTTGAGATGGGACGTCCAAGGACTGACACCCCAAATCCATCACATCATTGAGATGGGACATCCAAGGACTGACACCCCAAATCCATCACATCAGCTTGAAGGGCCAAACAACCCTATAAAGAATAGTGTCCGTGAATCCATCACATCATCAAGATAGAACATCCGATCCCATCAAGGACTGACACCCCAAATCCATCACATCTTTGAGATGGGACATCCAAGAACTGACACCCCAAATCCATCACATCATTGAGATGGGACATCCAAGGACTGACACCCCAAATCCATCACACCAGCTTGATGGGCCAACCAACCCTATAACAGATCCCACTGCATCAATACAGGACAACCTTCTCCATCCACAACCAACCCCCTCCACCCTCCCTCAAATAATTTACTTCCATGAGACGGAACGACCCCCACCCTACAAATCTCCGACTCCGTCTCCATCCCAAACATTTCGGGTCATCCTCACCTTGAGATACCTCCCCTGGTGGACGCAGCCACACTTCTCCAGGGACACACAGGAGCTGCCATCGAAGAGGAACCCATCATCACACTGACATCCCTCAAAGCACGGCCAGCTGCACGGGGTTGGCACGGAGAGGCTGGCACAGGTGAAGTCACAGGTGCGGGTGCAGAGCTCGTAGTGGCTGTGGGGTGGGCAGGAGAGGGCTGGAAAAGAGGGAGAAATTGGGGGTTTTTTTAATGGTAAACCCAATTTGGGTGATGGGAAACCCCCCCCCCAGTTTGAAAGCCAAAGGGACGTGGTGGATTTGGGGGTGGTCTGCAAGGCGAATTGGGGCAGCTCGTGGGTTTTGGAGAAGGTCTGTGAGCGTCGATGGGATTTTTTTTGTGGGTTTGGGGGAATGTTTGGGGTGATCTCGTGGATTTGGGGGAGATCTGAAAGCATTTCTGGGCGATTTCCTGCATTTTGGGGCAATATTTCAAAGCGCTTCGGGTGATCTCGTGGATTTGGGGGAAGGTCTGAAAACATTTTGGGGCTTTCTAATGGGTTTTTTTTGAGAATACATGAATGTAATCTGTGTGATTTCGTGGATTGTGGGGGAGGCCTGAAAGCATTTCTGCTCTGTTTCATGGATTCTGGGGGGAATATTTAGTAGCATTTTGGACAATCTGATGTATTTGGGGGAGGATTTGAAAAAGGTTTTGGGCAATCTGATGGATTTTGGAGGGGATTTGGAAGCATTTCTGTGAAATCTCACGGATTTGGGTGGAATATTTGGAAGCATTTTGGTCCATCTCAAGGATTTGGGGGAAGATTTGAATGCGATTTGTGCGATCCCATGGATTTTAGAGGAGGTTTGCAAACATTTGGGGCAACCTCTTGGATTTTTGGGGAATATTCAAAAGCATTTTGGTCAATCTTGTGGATTTTGTGACATTCCTGGGCTATTTTGTGGATTTGTGGGAATATTTGGGCAATCTCAGCGATTTTGGGGAAGGTCCGAAAGCATTTTGTGGCCATCTCATGGATTTTTGGGACTATTTGGAAGACCTTCTGCACCATTTTGTGGACTTTCAGGTGGAGCTTGCAAACACTTTGGAATAATCTCATGGATTTGGGGGATGATATAAGGAAAAAGAAGCGATGCGTGATTTGATGCTGACAATTCACGCAACGTCTCCAAATATCCCAAATTTGCCCCTCCAAAACAGCAACAACAGCAACATAAAAAACCCAAATTGCGAAATTTTGCTGCGGGGAAATACGGATCGAGAGGAAAAATGGGACCTGAGCATCTCTCTCGGGGATATTTAGGGGATAATTTGGGCATCTTTTGCACCACTTACGGCAAAACGCCGCCGTTCTCCATCCTCCAATCTCAGCGCCGGCGGCTTGGCAAGCGGCAGCGTAAGCCTGCAGGCTGTGACACAGAGCATCCCTTGCCCCACTGGCAGCACAAACATCGTGGAGGCAATGCTGGAAATACTGCACCGGGTTCACCTGATGGTGGCACGACCCAAAAGGCCCCGTTGGGTCGTGGATGATGCCACATTTATCCCCGCTGCCGTATGGAGCAACGGCGGCAGCATCGCACGAAGGGCACGGCTTCCCATCGCAACCTTCGGTGCAACCACCATCAGATGAAGGTGTTTTCCAAGAGGTGATAAATTCCTCCGTGCTCTTCGCCGGGGATCCGTCGGGGAGCAGGAAATCATCGCCAGGATCTCCATTAAAGTTGCCCCCCAAACCACACACGCGGCCCAGGTAGGCGTTGGGGATGGTGACCAGCAGATACGTGGCTGCATTGTAGAGCAGACGGAGGCCGGAGGTCGTTTGCAGGATGAGGTTGGTCCCCTCTTGCCCAATGTGGAGCTTTTGGTCCTCCAACGCCAGCGGCAAGGTGAAATGCTCACCGTCCACCTGGAGCGTGCAATTCGCGTAAGGTTTGTGCACCCACCTTGCAGTGTTGCACGGTTTGCATGCACGTGTTGCAATGCTGCAAGGTTTGCGTGCCCCGGGATGCAACGGGGAGGATTCAGCATGCATGCAAACACGCACCAGGAGGATGCTCTTTGCAAGCACCAAGGGTTTTTTGCACACATGCTTGCACCAGGAGACTTTTTGCCAGCATGGATGCAATTCAGAAGGCTTGCATGCACGCTTGCATGCACCAGGAGACTTTTTGCAAGCATGGGTGCAACTGAGAGACTCTACACGCACGCATGCATGCAAGAGGGAGGTGCTTTTTTCAAGCATGGATGCAATCCAGAAGGTTTGCATGCACGCATGTGTGCACCATGAGACTTCTTGCCAGCATGGGTGCAACCGAGAGATTCTACACATGTATGCATGCACCAGGAGGACGTTTTTTTGCAAGCACGAGGGATTTTTGCACACATGCGTGCACCAGGAGGATGTTTCTTTGCAAGCACTAGGGGATTATTGCACACACGCAAGCACCAGGAGACTTTTTGCAAGCATGGGTGCAACTGAGAGACTCTACATGCACGCATGCATGCAAGAGGGAGGTGCTTTTTCCAAGCATGGATGCAACCCAGAAAATTTGCCTGCATGCACGCGTGCACCATGAGATTTTTTGTCAGCATGGGTGCAATGGAGAGATTCTACACGCACACATGCATGCAGCAGGGGATTTTTGCACACGTGCCCTGCAGACCTTGCCCCAAGCATTGCTCCTGACTCACCATCACCTCCCAGCGCCGCCCTTGCTCCATGCTGACCGTGTACCCATAGATGCTCACTATCACCTTCTTCACCAGCGCCACGTCGCCCCGTCCCCCTCCGTCGTGCTCCAGCAGCACCGAGAAGTTGGCCAAGCCACGTTCAGGCTTGCAGACTTTGGCCAGCACGTAGCTGCAGGAACCTCGCAGGTCGAAGGCTCTACCATCAAACGTCACATAGTGGGGGTCTCCTGAGACCACCAAGCGCCCGTAGCCGGCGGGGTGACACCCCAGCACCCCATCCTGCACCCTGCACTCCTCGTGGGCGCCGCAGGATGCCGGCCTGCACTCCGTCACCCCGCCGGCTTTGCAAACACAGAACTCCTGGCAGGAAGAGTAGAACTCCGAGCCTTTCTTGTAGTAGAGGCCGCGGTGTTCACAGCCACAGTCGGATGCTGGGACGCATTCGGAGCCGCTGAGGATGAAGCCGACGTCGCAGAAGCAGCCCTCGGTGCACGGGGCTGATGTGCAGCCCTGGGGGAGAGCGTGGGGACGGCAGGTGGGAGGGCAGGCGGCTCCGCAGAGCTCGTAGTGAGCGTGGGGAGGGCAGACGGGGGCTGTGGGGGGAGAAAAAGGGGGGAGAAAAGGGAGGGGGGAGTGAGTTCTAGGGAAAAAGGAGGGGGAGGAAGGGGGTCGTTGAGGAAAAGAGGGGGGGAAGCGGGGAGAAAAAGGGGAGGAGGAAAAGGGATTGTCAAGAAGTGGGGAAAAAACAAGGGAATCTGCAGGGAAAAGGTGAGAACAGGGAGCTGTGAAGGAAAGGAGGGGAAAAAATGTGAGTCCGCAGGAGAAAGGAGAGAAAAAAAATGTGAAACTGCAGGGAAAAGGAGAGAAAAGGGGGAATTGTGAAGAGAAGGAGGGAAAAAATGTGAAACTGCAGGAAAAAGGAGAGAAAAAGGATTATGAAGAGGAGGAGGGAAAATATGTGAAACTGCAAGAAAAAGGAGAGAAAAAGGGGAATTGTGAAGAGGAGGAGGGAAAAAATGTAGATCTGCAAGAAAAAGGAGAGAAAAAGGGGGAATTGTCAGGAAAATACGGAGAAAAAAAAAAAGGGAGATCGTCAAGAAGAGGAAATAAAAATAAGGGAATCTGCAAGGAAAAGCAGAATAAAAAGGGAATTTTCAAGATGAAGCAGAAAAGGAGGAGTTACAACAATCCAATGGAGAAGTAGGCCCTGATTTAGGGGCGTTTTGGGATCCCATAACCCTCAACTTCACCTTTGAGAAGGCGTAAAAGGAGAGGACAGAACAGCTCGATGGGGAAATAAACCCAATTTTGGGGGCATTTCGGGATCCCATGACCCTTCACTTGGCCCCTGAGAAGGCATAAAAGGAGAGGACAGGCCAATTCAATGGGAAAATAAACCCAATTTTTGGGGCACTTTGGAAAATAAACCCAATTTTTGGGGCACTTTGGGATCCCATAACCCTCCACTTGGCCCTTGAGAAGGCATGAAAGGAGAGAACAGGAAAATACAATGGGAAAATAAACCCAATTTTTGGGGCACTTCGGGATCCCATAGCCAAGACGTTGAGCTCAAACTCTTTAATTACTGTCCCTAAAAAGGGTCGGGGTGGGAAAATTCCCCCCACTCACCACAGAACGACGGCGTCCTCCACTGCCCCACAGCAGCCCCATTGCTTTGGCACTCGGTCATATAAGCAGCCACCGCTTTGCAGATGACATCCCTCCTTCCTTTGTACTGACACGCATCAAAAGCACAGTCCTCCAGGAACGGCCCTGGATCAACGACACGGTGACAATCCCGGAAGGGTCCCCCACTCGCCCCGATCACCCCACAATATGCATCACCACGATAGGGTTTCTTCTGCTCTTCGCCACACGTTGGGCAATCCCCAACGCAACGCGCCGAGCAACCGGGGACATCCTTGACCTTCCAGCTGTCAGCGAAACGGATCTCATCTTCAATTTGCTTCCCATCGTGGGAGGTGAGGTCGTCATTGGGGTCACCGTTGGCGTTGCCACAAAGGCCACAGGTGGCACCGGCGTAGGTGTCGGGGATGATGACGCGGGCGTAGCTGTACCAATCAAAGCTGACCCGTAAACCAAAGGAGGTGCGGATGAAACCGTGGACACCGCTGTGGTAGAGCTCGAAACGGTCCTTGCGGGTGAAAGGGAGCTCCACAAAAGCCCCGTTGAGCTGGGGAGGGTCGGGGGGAGAAGATTATGGGGGGGTTGAGTTGGGGGAACAACTCAAACAAAAGGCAAAAGGGTTGGGGGAAGGTTTGTGTGAGTCGCTCGGGTGTTTGGGGGCTCTTCCAAAATGTTTTGGAGGTGAAATGTTGTTGGGGAAATGAAGTTCGGGGTGATTTTTTGGAAATCCTTGGCATCAGGAGGGTCTTATGGGCAACGTAGGTCAATTAAGACTTGGGGTATTTTTCAAAACACTTTTCATGGGGAGGGTTTCCGTGAGTTGGTCGAGGAAACATTTTGGAGATGGAATATTTTTGGGGAAAATGCAATTTGGGGTCAATTCTTTGGAAATCCTTTGCACCAGGGTTATGGTTAGAGTCAGGTTTGGGTTGTTTAGGGTCAGGGATAGGATTAGAGAGTCCTCATAGCCCACCTACCTTCACCTTCTGCGGGTGCTCCTGGCTCATGCTGATGACATCTCCGTACACCTCCATGGTGACAGTTTTGGTGAAGGACACAGCTTTGCTGCCCCGGTTGTTGTTCTCCACGGTGACATTGAAGGGGACGAGAGCGGGGTCGGATGAGCAGAGGGCAGCAAACTGGTAGATGCAGGTCCCTTGGAAGTCGTATTTCCTCCCATCAAAGGTGGTGTAGTGAGGATCGCCCGTCCCGATGCAGGTGGAGGTTTTGGTGACTCGGCGGCGTGGGGCATTTCTGTCCACAGTGCATTTCTCATGGGATTCACAGGACTGTTTGCCATCCGTTTGGCTCCCTGAATTCAGATAATGTGGATTTGGGGGTGGCTTGGTACCAAAAAAAAAAAAAAAATCAACGCAACCCTTCACCAGTGATGGAGACTCAATTGGTTCCTACAAGCAATTCAGGGTCTGCAAAATACCCCATGTGGGCAATTCCTGGGGAAAACTCAACGTTATTCTGTGTGCTGTGGACATCTGAAGTCAGACAATGTGGATTTGGGGGCAGTTTGGCACAAAAAAGACCAACACAACCCCTTCACCAATGATGGAGATGTTGGCTCATTTGATCCCTACATGAAATGTGGGGCTCCCGAGACGCCCTATGTAGACAACTCTTGGAAAAACTCAAGGTTATTCTCTGTGTTACGGACATCTGAAGTCAGACAATGTGGGTTTTGGGGTGGTTTGGCACAAAAGGACCAATGCAACTCTTCCCCAGCACAAGAAACGTTGGCTTAGTCAACGTCTACAAATAACAACTTGGCACAGAACCCCTTTTTTCCCCCTGCAAAATGCTCCAGAACCACACATCAAAGCTCACCTTGTCCCATTGTGTCCTGCACTGTTTCTTGCAGTGTTTCTTCCTCTCTCCTATCCTCCAGGCATGAGGGATCTCTCCAGCTCTCAGCCCAATCCGTCGCATCGGCGGCCACGGTGCCATCGGGACGCTTCATCTCATCTTCCCCATCCTCATTAAAGTTCCCACAGAGCCCACAGGTGGCCCCGAAATAACTGCTGGGCACTGCCACCATGACAGCCCAGTCCTCATCGTAGGTCACCTGCAGCCCAAAATCTGTCTGCAGGACGATCCTGCCTTCGTTTTGGGAGATCTGGATCTTTCCGTTCTGCAGGTTGGCTGGTAGGGTGGTGGGTTGGTTGTTGACCTCAAAATGAAAGAGAAAAACTATGTTTCAACTTCCTTCCTTCCTT